AAATAACTCACATTTGAATGAGCTCAAACTGAATCAAAAACTCATAATTTACATTAAAATTCAAATAAAAAAGATTTCCAACTCAACATCAAATGAATTAGTGTAATCTCCCTCGTGGCAAAAATGTTTTGGAATAAAATGAAAGAAAAAAATACATTTGTGTGTGTTTTTGGGAGACCTCGGGGGTGTCCGTGCCCCCCACCATCACCACTTTGTGAAACCCCCTCGCTGCTGTGCGCCATGTGAGTCTCACAGAACTGAACCTCAGCTCAGGGTCAAACTGGGGTCACGGCTCCGGTTTGTTGTCACAGCACCACCCGAACCCAAACTACAGTTTACAGTTTGCTCACAGCCACAGGCCGGCTACGGAGGCTCGTTTGACCAAAACCACACCAGAACTCGCCTTGACAAAAGTAAGAATAAATGMAAAGAAATACAAAACTGAAAGAAGGAGACTTTTTTTTTCATCCTGAGACGAGACGTCCAGACAATCCTGATGGTTCCCATTAAAGCCCTGAGATAAACATGTGGACGATGACAGATGTTTAACTCAAACCATTAAAGYTCCGAGAAGCAAAGTTTGAAGCTCCGCGCTTGAAGAGGTAATTCAAAAATCATGGAGAGGGTTTATTTGCGCGTTTGATGTGCTCCTAAAAAGTCCGCGTTGTGAGMAAAAGTTATTATTAGAACGCAGAATGATCAATTACTTTTCAACATGGACTCCACGTTAAGCAAACACGACAGAGGAAATAATTCAGGCCGTTTCTCCTTAGAGAATTTTTTCCCCCAGAATTTTAATTTGAAAAAACGTGAAACAGCAAATCTACAAATTACTGCACACAAAATATTATTTATTTTGTTATAATATCTAAATTATTGGAACTGATCGTATTGACTAGTAATTTTCTATGACAACAAATTAATCAGTCTGCTTTTAATTTTCATTAAAATGGTGATACATTTTTTTAGGATCAATAATAAAATTCGAGGACATTTCGTTATATCGTGTTAGCCACTGATTTTCCAATTTAATGTTTCATGTCTTTTTATATTGATAAGAAAATGGTATATTTTCCTGCATTTTCAGGGGTTTTGAAGAATAAAACGAAACTATTATCAAAGAAGGTCAAGCAAAAATCCTTCAATAATAAAAGTAATCT